CTCGCAGCCCCGCGGAGCCACCGCGTTTCTCGGCGTCGTTTCCCGCGCGGCCGCAGCGAAGCATTTCATTGGCCCAAGCACATAGCTCCCGGCACGAGGCTGTGTCTGATTGGCCCAGGCTCCAGCAGCCGCAGCTTGGTTGGATCTGCTCTCAGGCCTGGCCGACTTTTAGCTGGCTACACGCTCCCCCTAGCAGTGTTGTGGAGCTTTTCTAGCAATCTGCGTCTCACTGGCCATGGCTGGGAGAGCCTACAGACCTCTTACTGGCCAAGAGTGTGCTTGGCTGGGCTATCCTGTCATTGGCTGACGCCAGGAGCGCGGCTGCCTCTCTTGCCAGGGCCTGGTGCCTATGGCTGTAGGGTCTTTTTCTTAAAGATAGCCAGAGGCTGCTTCCATTGACTGGGCTCCTGAGTATCTGGTTGACCCGAACCTGGGGAGGAGAGCTGGTCTCTGCCCCTCAGGGGGCTCAGCACATCTTGGCCTGTCCCCTTCCCCACCCCCACCGACATCAGCCCTGGTCCCTCAGCTGTCAAGCTGGTTTTGATGGCCTCCCACCATCCTACAATTGTGGGAACCCCAGGGTCGACTCTGGTGGCCTTAAACGTATTTATAGGCCCCGGGCAGGGCTGCTCCCATCCCATCTGGGGCTCCATGATGGGTTCCTCCTAGCAGGGCCAAGCCAAAGCTTTCTTAATAAAATGCTTCTCTCCACTTCCTGTGCTCTGATTACTTCCTGCCTGAGGTGGTGGGCAAAGATGCCCCTCTTATGGAACCTGTATGTGACATCTTCTGGACTCTTCCAGCTACATGGAACCTTGGAGTCCCCAGTGTGGGTGTCCTCAAACTGAAAACTGTGCCAAATCCAGAAGTCCTGAGCTGTCACTTGGGAAGAAGGGTGAATCTGAGCTAGGGGACATCCAGAGGACAGGACTGTTTCTGGTGAGACAGAGGTGGGGGCAAGGGACAACAGGCAGTGGGTCCAGCCAGGCCTCACAAACAGTCTGTCATTGCACAGAGTCTGTGGTCTGCCTCAATAGGTGCCTTGTCCCCAATGGGAACCTTTCTGCCCTGTTTCCACATGCTCCAAGAGGGTACAGAGCAGAAGGACAGCTGGCTGGGCCTTCTCTTGAGCCATTGTCTGTCCCCACCCCTGCCTAGCACCTTCACCTCCCCTAGCAGGCTCCTAACTGGACTTTCTGAGCCTCAGACCTGTGCTCCAGGGTTCCTACTGACCCTTAGTTCAGAAAAGCTATTTTTGGGTTCCTCCCATGGCCCTGCCTCTAGCAGACTCTTCCATCTCCCATCTTTTTTTGTTGTTGGGACAGAGTCACAGATTGTAACTCAGTATGACCTTGAACTTCTGCCTCAGCTTCCTAAGTGCCAAGATTATAGGTGTGGCTTCTCCATGTCTGTGTTTTTTAATTTTAAAAGTTCTATTCATTTAGGTGTGTGAGTGTTTTGCCTGCATGTATGTACGTATGTGTACCATGTATATGCCTGATGCCACAGAAGTCAGAAGAGGATTAAGATCTCATGGGACTGGAGTGATAGGCAGTTGTGAACCACAATGTGGGTGTTGGGAATCAAATATGGCTCCTCTGTAAGAACAAACTACGTTCTTGACTGCAGAGCCAGCTCTCCAGAACTTTCTCCCATCTCTTGATGCCCTGCTCAAAACCTGCCAACATCTTCCTGCTTTGTGAACCTCCAATGTTGGCAGCTCAGGGGACTCTCCTTGCCAGGGCCCTTGTTCTCTGGCCATCTGACTACCACTTTGAAGTCAGTTTTGGTTCCACACCTGAATGGAAATGGCGCTCAGAGCATCTGATGTACACAGTGCCTCAGGCTGGCCTGGTTGGGTAACTCGTGGTGGCAGTCCTGCTGTCTCTGCCAGATGTCTTGTTTTGGCCAGCAAGGCACCCTTCCTGCTGTGGTCTTGTGGCTTGAATGTCACTAAGCCATACTAGCTGCTGGGGCTTCAGTTAGCCTCAGCATCAGCCAGCAAGCAGCAGAGGCCAAGTTAGTGTAGTGTGGGGCACTTGGTAGGCCCTGCTCTTGTCCAGTTTGTGCCCCTACCAAGGCAACCTGCCACAATGGCCTTTCCCTTACTCCTCAATTCCTTATTCTAGCCTTCCATTTCCCTAGTCTGGACTCTTATGATCTGGACAGTGCAAGAATGTCTCAGTACTGGCCGGCGCCTTTCTCACTGTCCAGGAAGCCTGACCTTCAGGAGCCTCTCTGTGAACATATCCAGAGCAGAGAGCCCTTTTTTTCTTCAGCCAGTCCTGCTGCCTGCACCCCCCACACCCCCACAAGAGCTCCCCTTAAATGTCTTTCACCAGCCCCTCTGGGCTTGCAGTAGTGCCAGCTCCCAGGGCAGGCGCCACAAAAGGGAACCACAACTGCTGGAACCTCTGTTGCCATGGGGATGGGGACCACAGAGCTCACATCTGGTAGTGATTGAGGAGGAAAAATTATGAGTCGTGGAAAACGCAAATATTTTTTTGTAGCACAGAGCACAAAGGAATGTGGGGACTGCGAGGGGCCTGGGCTCCGTCTGGTTTCCAGCAGGATGTAGCACACATCACTTAGATAGGCCAGGCTGTGCCGGACACCACACACACACCAGCAGTTGTTTGTCTCATGGCACACATACATTTGCCACTAGATGCACAGAAATACCAACACACTCAATGCAAAACACACACATGTGTGACAAAACAGTGCAGCTCCAAAGCACAGAACAAACACACAGCAGCATGCACCCCACATATAACTGTATCCAAAGAAGCAGAAACATACTCATCAAGGCTCCAGAACTCCCTGAGACACACGGAGGCAACTAGACAGAAACAAACCTCCATGTCCAACACACACTGCATCACTGCACAGACATACCAAGGCACACATACTCTGCCACACACATGTCCAGCCAGCCCACAGTAATGCAGAGGACTATCGGCCCTCAAAACACACAAACAAAGGGCAGGGGACGCAGAAAATCCAGCAGAGCAAGGAATGCAAGACACCCTGCAACATACGCATTTCAGGCATGGTGAAAGAATTGGAACATATCATATGAACCACGTGGGCTGCCTGCCACACAGAGACTGAATTCCTCGCAGCACACATACACACAACTCATAATGCATGAAAAAGAGGCAAGTAGTGACCTCACACACATAACCACCACACACAGAAACATGAGGCAAACTCTCAACACACCCATTAAACATGTCCTCTGTAACACATACCATGGTACTAGACAAAGTGTTAACACATACTCAGGAGAGCTCATCTGAACTTGCAACATATATACTACTGTCATCTGACAAAAACATTGAGGGACACTCCTCTACCACCATCTATAGCCTCCATTAGTGCACACACACCAGACACACAGAGACACAGTGACACAACCTGTAACATGTATATGCTCTACCAAAGCTGCTGGATACTAAGACATTGACTAACACACACACACACACACACACACAGAGAGAGAGAGAGAGAGAGAGAGAGAGAGAGAGAGAGAGGGAGAGAGAGAGAGGGAGAGAGAGAGACCCTACAAAGAGAGAGAGACACACACACACCCACACATAGACACACACACACATAGAGACACACAAACACACACACACACACACACACACACACACAGAGAGAGAGAGAGAGAGAGAGAGAGAGAGAGAGAGAGAGAGAGAGAGAGAGAGAGAGAGAGAGAGAGAGAGAGAGAGAGAGAGAGAGAGAGAGAGAGAGAGAGAGAGAGAGAGAGAGAGAGAGAGAGAGAGGGAGAGAGAGAGACCCTACAGAGAGGGAGAGACACACACACACACACACACACACACACCATTGCCCGATATGCAGACATACAGAAAAGACATGGAAAAGCACAGTCAGTCCATAGGTAGATAGACACTAAGACCATCTACAGCATGATTACACAGTTCCCAACAAAGCCTGGTGGAGTTCACCCCCATGAAGCACACCCAGATGAATCGAGACAATACTGGAAGTCATTTGAGTTCTAAGTTCTGTGATCCAGAAAAACAGGAGGTGTAGCATGCACAATATCCTAGTCAATCCACAGCATCACCCCAAACAAGCAACCACAAAAGCAAGGGGGAGGACAGAAGAAAGACTTGTTCCCGGTAAGGAAACAGCCTCCTTATGTTCAAGAAGACTTATGCTAAATAATGGACCTTCTTAGGCAGCAGAGTCTCGGTGCAGAGTGTCGATGAATACCCCACCCCAAGGTGCTTGTTGCACATGGCAACATGGGAAATACTCCAGGGTTTTGCTTTTTTCTTTTTCAGACAGTGTTTCTTGTAGCCCAGGCTGGCCTCAAACTAGCTTCATAGCTGAGGATGATTTGAGCCTCTGATACCCTATCAGCCAAGTTCTGTATGAATCACCATGCCTGATTCACACAGTGCTGGGGTCACACAGCTCCATGCCTGATTCACACAGTGCTGGGGTCACACAGCACCATGATCACACAGCACCATGCCTGATTCACACAGTGCTGGGATCAAATTCAGGGCTTTGTTTATGCTAGGCAAACACTCTACCAACTAAGTTATGTTCCTAACATCTCCAGTGGCTTTACAATTTTTATTTTATGTGTATGAGTGTTTGCCTGCTGCCCATGGAAGCTAGAAGAGAGCAATGAATCCCTTGGAACTGAAGTTATGGATGGCTATGAGCTACCATGTGGGTGCTGGGACTCAAACTCGGTCCTTTGCAAGAGCAGCTGGAACTCTCCACTGCTGACTGCTGACTCATCTCTCCAGACCAACCCCCAACCTTTTTTTTTTTTTTTCTTTTTTTGAGATGGGGTTTCTCTGGATTTTTTTGTTTTAAAGACACTATGTAGACCAGGCTGACCTTGAACTTGCAGAGATGCACCACCCCATCCAGCTTCCAGTGGCTTTCATTAATGATTTTATGTACACTTTGAGAAGCAAGTGTGAAGATATTTGTTCTAGAGGCAAGACACTGGCATTTCAGTTACACTCTGTGCCTGTGTGTCAGGACACCCTCGTTTTAAGACCAAAGAAATCTTTGAAGGCCATTGTTAGTAAAGTAGAAGTGTTCTTCTGGTGCCATCTAGTGGTCAACTTCCACAACATCTGGAGCCAAAACAAGAATAGTCCTAGAGGAAAAATAGCCCTGCTGTTGTACTGCTAGGACCGGCACTGAGGTGGGGGCCCAGGCATATCCAGCTACAGGATCAGCTTGAAGAACACTATAACATGAGGATCGGCTGGGCTGGTGGGATACCAGTAGCAAGGACGGGAAGGCACAGGGAAATGGAGCAAGGGGGAGTGAGCCAGTATGAGGGTTTCACTCTGCCCTTTGAGGGCGCCTCCCAGACTCCCAGACCTTCCACTAGGCATAATTTTTGAAGTTAAAAACAATTATTGTGTGTATGTGATGTGAGCGCACATCTTGGTGCATGCAGGAGATGCCATAGTGTGCCTGTGGAGGTCAGAGAACAGCTGTGGAGAATCGGGTGTTGCGGCACTGTTCATGGGTGTGAAGTGGGGGCTTTTAGTCAAAG